ATTGATTGATAACTTTGATTAGATACTAAGAAAAGTATTTTGGAGCTGAATCGAGGTCGTTTTTCTTAACACCTAATCTACCAAATCCCTTCCGACTTCTCAATTTATCGTTACAGAGTATTGAAACAGATATCACGATTTATCTCCCTCTTAACGCCTAAACTCACGATCTCGGTGTTATGGCTCCATCACTGTCACAATCCTATATATATTGAACCACATTCATCCACTACACGCCACTCAAATCTTATTACCCTTAGCGTGTTCGTTTGCTTGACGCTGTGCCGCGCGGCTGCGTCGTGCGGCTAACAATGTTCGTTTGCCTGCCGCAGACACATGCGGTTAAGCGGCTAAAAATTTCAGACGTCGTGTTTTTCAGCGTTCGATCGCTAATTTGCTGCGACTAAAACTTTAAAAAACAAAAAAATACCCTCATAATGACTTGTTAATTACAAAAATACCCCTTACCCTAAAAATAATATGAACTCTCGATCTCCTTTCACGCTCCTTTCTCTTTGCCGAACTCAACTTCACAATCGTTCTTCAAGTAAGCTTTTCAAATTCGTTTCTCTCGCTTATTTGGGTTTCTAATATTTTGGGCTTTTTCCAAACTTCGAATAAACAAAATTCGAACTTGCTCTTCTTCTTCTTCCCTTTTCCTCTTAAGCATTTCTGCATAATCAAAAAGCCCAGAATGGTAAAGTTATGCTTCTAATTTAAAGATTTCAACTTTAGAAAACTGAACTAAATTGAGGTTTTTAGACCGAACTTGTCTTCCTAAAAACTGGACCAGGATCTTGTAGAAGTGAATAAACCCATTAGAGCGAAAGAACAATGAACCCTTAAAACCCAAATCTTGTTCTGTTCATATTTGATCTTTCATCTCTTCTCTGACTCGAACAATGAGCCATTTTTATTTTATATGAATTTGTCAAGTAGATAGACAAGAGAAAAAAACCCGTTTTGTGTTGATGTTTTATGGAATAATTACATTTCGGGACACTTTCTTTGGCTTTTATTTCTGTTGGAGAACTTTTTTTTCTACACACATTTTCCCTTGTTTTTTGGATTTAGTAAGACAAAAATGCCCCTAATGTAAACAAAGCCATCGACATTTTAACTGCTTCATGCGTTAGCATCTTGGTCGTTGATTCTCTTTTTGCTTTAATGAAAACGTGCGGTTCAGATTACCATCATCGATTTTTTACTTCTTTATTACGCAACATCTTCACCGTTGATTACACATTTGCTTTAATGAAAACTCACTGTTCAAATTTCATCTTGTTTAAACGTGCGGTTCACAATTACAGTATTTTTAACATGTGGCTCAGATTCTCTACAGAAGTAAAAGTACAGATATGTGTTGTTTTACAGCTGTGACCTACTACTGGTGAGGATAAGGTTTGCGTGTACAACCAAGATTGAGCTTTGTTTCGTGGTTGGTATTACGGTGGACACATCCATGATTTCCGATAACCCAATGCCGGAGCACTACTAGTGATTTGCGGTGAATGGCGTTTCAGAGAAGACGAGACTTGGAATTTTGTGATCGACAAGTACCCTATGTCAAGGATTGTTGTTCTGAAACTTGGTATTAAGCTGTCTGAGTTTTCTGACACTGTTGTGACTGAGTTTGGTTTGTCTGAGTACAAGCATATCGCGAGTCTTAGTTATTGGCGTGTGAACAGTGGCTCATTCGTAACCGGTGTTAAAAGGTCGCCGGTGTTGCTCACAAGCAATGGTGCCCTTGATTTCTTTGTTAGTCAGTTGAGGGTGAACAAATCTCTTACTTTGTTTGTGAAGTTCAACTCATCTGCTAAACAAAGTTCTGATGGTTTATCTCAATAAAGTAGTGGATTTTCAACTTCTAGGGAAGAAGAGATTAGAGCATAAAATTGGTGAAGAAAGCTTCAGTAGACACATCGAACTGAAAATATGCAGGAGGGGAAGATCCAGACGACGGTCAAGCCGGAAAACCAATCCGATAAATGGAAAGCATAGATCTAAAATGCTA